AATATAACCACCCCACCCCATCCCCAAGGTGGGTTCACAATTTTTAAGGCACTCGCCTGCTGTGAGTCCCCTTTGCCCGGCAAAGCAATAAAATTGCCTCTTTTCTTCTAAGCTCCAGGAACTTGTCTCTGGGTTATTTGGCTCGTCGCGGTCGGAGGCTGATCTTTCAGCAACAATGCCACCAAGAACTAGAGGACCCCCCTCTCCAACCACCAAAGGAGCTCACTAGAGAGTTTCGTGGGACATTTGGAGAATGGTGACAAAGCTGGGGTCTGGGTTTGGGGAAGGCTCTAATGCACACGTGAGTACAGCGAGCCTATGGGAAGATCTACTCATGCTGGAGAGGTCCAGGGGTCCCGGAGTCCAGGGGGTTGGGTCCTGAGCTTATAAAGCTAACAAGCCAAAGCACTCTTCCGGGATGAAGCCCCACCCTGAGGAGAAAATGCTGGGAGTATCATCCAAACTGAACAGGATCGGAACAAGGGCCAAGAAAAGATGATGTCAAAAGAAAGAGTGGGGAGCTGAGCAGGGAAGAGGAACTCAGAACAGACAAGGTCATGTTTACAGCTACTTCATGAAATCAACAGCAGGGGGCACTGTAGACTGTGAAACTAGAAAAGGCTCTCATTTTTTAACTCCTGAAAGCAGAGGGAAACTCATTTCACTAAAAAATGAGCCACAGGAAAGGATTATAGTCACATACTAACAGCATTATTATAAGAAAAAAAGAATAAGAAACAGAATGATACCACTACAGACAATGAAGAAAATACCAAAGAAGTTGCCATAAAACATGAAAACTGTAACCTGATGTTTCAAATGAGCTTAAAAAATCAGAAAGTAATAGAAACTATAAAAGACTACATAAATCAGAATGAGAAAAATTCCGAAGTAGGATGTCTCAGGGAAGGGAAGATTTGAATAGAGAAATGAAAGAATTCAAAAAAGAATCGGAAATAAAGAAAAAATCACTTCAGAAATAAAAGCTAAACTAGAAAGAGCCCACAAGAATAAAGAAACCAAATGAAAAATGCCTTGAGGGAAACAGAAATGGAAAATAGAGTTTTTAAAATCAAAAAGGAAAGGAAAAAGAAATAAAAAGGACTTGAGAGAAAGTGACAAGTAGGGAAAACAAGAAAATCCAAAAGACCTACAATAAGTCCTCTGAGAAGAAAACGAAAGAATGAGGCAAAGAAAGTATTAAAACTAAAACAAACAAAAAATCTTGAAATTAAAAAAAACTTAACACCACATATTGAAAACAGCAAGGATCTACTACATAGCCCAGGGAACTATATTCAATATCTTGTAATAACCTATAATAAAAAAGAATATGAAAAAGAATACATATATGTAATCTCTATTCTGTACACTTGAAACTAACACATTTTTATACTTTTTTTATTGAGTTATAGTCATTTTACAATGTTGTGTCAAATTCCAGTGTAGAGCACAATTTTTCAGTTATATATGAACATAAGTATATTCATTGTCACATTTTTTTTCGCTGTGAGCTACCACAAGATCTTGTATATATTTCCCTGTGCTATACAGTATAATCTTGTTTATCTATTCTGCATTTTGAAATCCTAGTCTGTCCCTTCCCACCTCCCACCCCCTTGGCAACCACAAGTTTGTATTCTATGTCTATGAGTCTGTTTGAAACTAACACATTTAAATCAACTATACTTCAATTGAAACTTTTTTAAATTTAAAAAAAACCCACATATGAACATACACTATGCATATATTGGAAAAATCAACCGTCAACAGCTCCATTTTGAAACTATTGAATTTTAGAGAAAAATTTTAAAAATCCTTTTTGTAACCAGGCAAAAAGAACAAGTATTTTATAAAAGAAAAAAAATCAGATTGTCATTAGACTTTCAACATCAGTGCTTCATGCCAGAAATCAATAGTTACTCCATTGATTTAGGATGTTCAAAAAATATGTGAGCCAAGAATTTTAAATCCAGCTAAATTGATCTTCAAATATAAAGCCAGCAAACATACTATTGTGAACACGCAAGAACCTAGGAGGCACTACTTCCAGGAGTCTCTTCTGAGGAATCAAAGAAAGCTTCAGCAACCAAAACGGCTGAAGGGACAGCAGCCTAAGAACTGCTTAAGTAAGTCAGCTAACAAAGGAAGATGAATGATAGGATTAAAATACATCATTTTGCAACCCCAGATCAGTTAACAGATCTATTTATTCAATGATCATCAGTGCCTGCTAACATTACAAAAAGAGAGACAAAGATAAATTACATGCCTCATGATGGAACGCAATTAAGGAAGTAGCCTTGAAACAGGACGAAGCTTATCAAGCTTCTAGAGTTAGCTTCGACTTAACAGGCCATGCAGTGAAACATACAGCCACACCACAAGGATGCAGTCAGCAAAAGTCACTCTAAAGGACGTGCTGTAGAGCAAGTGGCAGAATTTCTTTAACAACTGTTTTAATTAAAAAATATAATGGGAGAATTAAGAGATTAAAGAATAATCAGATAGTAGCTGAATCACGCTGTAAACCTTATTTTGATCCCAGCTCAAGCTAACAAACTCTAGGGGGAAAAATGTTTAGGAAAATCAAGGAAACGCGGACACTGACTGGATGTTGATAATATAAGAAATTATTTTTTTAGGTTGATATTGGTATCGTGGTTTTAAATGAGCAGCCTCTGTCTTCAGAGAGTCACAGCAAAGTATCTACAGATAAAATGACGTGACGTCTGGGATTTGGATCTAAGTAGTCTGGGGTCAAGGTTGGAGAGTAGGTGAGAATAACGAAGAAGGAAGTTTGGCCAGGAGGTGATGGTTGCTGAAACTCAGCAGTGGGTGTATGCCAGGTTCTCTCTGCGTCTGTTTATTTCTGAAATATTTTGCAGTAAAGAAACATTCTGTATTTTTTATTAGGATTTCAAAGTTTTATTATAAACAACATTCCTTCTCTTCGATTTTTTTTTTTTTGCAATTTCAGATTTTTTTTACTAAAGTATAGTTGATTTACAATGTTGTGTTAGTTTCAGGTGTACAGCAGAGTAATTGTTATAAATATATTTTTTTCAGATTCTTTTCCATTACAGGTTATTGTAAGATTTTGAATATTGTTCCCTGTGCTATACAGTAGGACCTTGTTGTTTATCTGTTTTATATATAGTAGTGTGTATCTGTTAATCACACACTCCTAATTTACCCCTTCCTCCCCCTACCAAAATATTCTATATTTTTAGAGAGAGAAAGACAGTGCACACACAACTGAAAGAGAGAGATTGAGAGATTGTGGGGATAAAAAGGGAATTGGCTATACTGTGTGTGGTTTCTGTTAATGTGGTCTTCACTACAAAGTGATCTGCTTCAGCCATTTGATGGCAAACTCCTAATACCAGTACCTTTCATCTCAA